GCTAAGGGGCATTTTCGACATGTGATCGACGAATAGCATTGTTACATTTTCAACGGTCGTGCAAGCTCAGTAAATTGACAAATGTGGTAACTTAGTGCCAGAGCATGGGGGTTCAGATCGACAGCTCTGCAACATTTTTGCGTTTTATATACACATTGACTCTACTAAGACGTTACATTCACGTTCGTTTGTGTCGCTTAAGGAGTTTAAAGAAAGGTACAAGAAGTCGCAGTTGTCGGTTTGAGATAAGGTGCTGCAACGCGTCACTTAGAAGGCTAGTTCCAATACACCTTTGATACCTGCCTTCCATAGCAACCACAAAAAAAGGCAGAGTTGTGCGGTCGTGTGGTCTACACATATTTTTGAAAATCTTTATATATATATAAAGCAAAATTGTATGTCTGTGCACATTCCACGTAGTCATGAAGAATGAGCCGTGAAGCGCATTTTCATCTGATCATCAAGACATGGTAAGGAGTTAGGAAGTGGACCCAAGACAAATTTGAATTCAAAGAAGGATAAGTTTCGTTATGAGAAAGGGTCAGGCACACAATGAACTGGCTCAAGACCGGAGTGGAACCCGGGTTGCAAGTTCGTTATATAAAACGCAAAAATATCAAAGATTCCAATGTGACCCTCGATACTCTGACACGACAGCCATCATATTCGCTAGTTCGCTAAGCTTGCACAGTTGTCGGCAATGTGGCAGCTGTATTTACCGGGTAGTTCCCCCCTTAAGTCCTCAGCTATCGATAGCGTTTAGGTGACGTGTCCATCATCCTTTACATCTCAGACGTCGACTTCTTGTACTTCGGTGTCATACAGTTCATCGGACCCTGATACATCTAGTTATAAGATTTGTGTCCTATGTCAGCCCGAAACCTTCAATTAATGTTCCAAAATTAGCAGTGTTCAAAAACTTAGAACATAAACCGTGGTTTTTCAAAAACATCGTAAGCCAACAACAGACAGAATCACTATTGCACTTATCCATCTTTAACGAGCTGCTCCACACAGACTTTGGAAGTGTGGTCATGATAAAGTCATTTTATATAACCTTTTTGTATAATAAACAGCAACGATAACGAGCTACAACCCTTTTGACAAGTATTGAATCGCCCCATATTATCTTTAAGTATCTTTGATTTTAGCGAAGTGCGATTACCGGCCTTCACTCAAGCAAGTTTGAGATGTAGCATATTCAAATGGTCTGAGAGATACTTTTTCCAAACACGAGGGCATGATATGGACCAACGCCTAGCGCCTCTTCTCTCGGTACGTTCCTTAAGTAGAATTTCCACATAAGAGGGCGCTATGAGCCAACGCATAGCGCCCGTCCTCTCGGTATGTTCCATGAGTGGAACTAAAAAGCAGCAATGGCTGCATAATAACGTCTGCTCAGGTTAAAATGAATGAATGTACATTTTCAAGTCGTAGTCTTAATCAGGTTTACTAAAGAAGTACTACGTGAAGGATGGCTTTCTCATGGATGGCTTTCTCATTCAAAACACTCAGATTAGCTTAACTGAAACTGCATTCTCTGGCAGGCATTGAGGTAACCTCGAAAAACATGCTAATCTATGCCAACTCAGCTCTAGTGTGTTCAGTGGCCGTATTCACCAAGGAACCCTGAGGGTTAAGCTTACTCTCCAGGGTTAGTTTAACCCTCACGGTTCATTGGCCGCATTCATCAACCATAGGCTAGGGTTTACTGCGGAACGCGATCTACCCGTATCGATCAACGAACCCGTAGCCGTATTCATCAATCCTGAGGGTTAAACTAACCCTGAAGGGTTAAGGCGTCTATGCGTGCACTGTGCAAACTCACATTATAAAATGCCTAAGTACGGGCTAAATTCACTTTATACTTCTATTCTTTCACAGTTATAGTAGTATAGTCAACGAATAAGCTTCTAACACTAGTTTTCATAATACATCTCTAACATAATTGTGCGGCATCCAATCTTACAGCGTGAGTTTATCCTCATGTGTGCAATTGTGCAGTGTAAATTCTACTTTTGCGCAGTCCGTTTTATACTGGGTTTGTGCTACTCTTTTAGGGTCAATGCGTGTTATTATAAAGGGGTTCTTCTGTTTTGGCACTTGTCAGAGTGTAGTGCCATTTTTCCTCGTCGCATTCATTTGTCACCAAAGCTAGAATTCTTTTTCTCGCGAAGTCAGTGTTTCATGTTCGAATATGAACATAAAACGAAGTCGAAACTAAATACTATAAAACAACCAATACGTTTTCCATAAACTATTAGATGCGAGTAAATGTTTGTATGAAGTGTTAGAGTAGACTTAACTTTGCTCTGAGCTAGGGTTAAATTGACCCTGATGAATCACATAAGTTTAACCCTCCAGGGTTAGTTTAACCCACACGGTTCGTTGATGAATACGGGTTAGTCGCTTTCAAGGTAAAATTAACCCTCAAGGTTAGATTTAACCCTCAGAGTTGAACCTACCCTGTGTTTCATGAATACGGAATAAATGCTTTCCAGGGTTAAACTAACCCTCCAGGGTTAGTTTAACCGTCGGGGTTCGTTGATGAATACGGCCACAGATAACGTTCGTTTGTAAAGCAAGGATAAAATTCCTTGTAAAGCAATACCCTAATTTCATGCGTATAAGGTGCTAGAGATTTTTGTTCCAAAATCGGCCAGCCCAAACACGCCAAAAGACTTTGCAACCAAAAGACCCTACAATGTGCAGTCTATTGTTTGGGAGAGTCGTGCGATGTAAGATTTTCTTCAAAAATAAAGTGAAGCGGCTGAGCGGCTCGCTTGAAAATTCGAAAAAGTGCGCCTTATACGCATGTTAGGGTAATAAGTTTCCCTTTTTATCCGTTTATCTAGATAGGAAATGCATTACCAAACTAAGCCGCAAGATGACGTTGTCTCAGTTGACATCTTAAACGAATGATTGTAGAAGATAGTAGAGAATGATGCTATTGAAGCATACAATACGCCTTCTCATGTGCTATCCCCTATTACCGCTAAAGAAGCAGTAATAGGCGATGTATGATTTTTTATTACTGCTACCAATGCGTCACCTCTGCAAAGGCTCGCACTGGCTCTACTTCCACATGCCTTTCTCGTAGTCCCAAAATGATGGCTTTGAAACTTACCTCGCGATGCCGATCATCACGAATGAAATGTAAACAACTACTCATTCTAAAAGCTTTTTCATGTAACATCGGTGACTGTGAGGGTAAGAAAGTTCTCTTCAAAAAATTAAATGCGATTTTGAATCAGTTACTGGGGTTATGATGACTTGATACTCGCCATAAAGATGATGGCAACCGTGAGTTACATTTCTGAGCAAAAATTTTCTCACATTCCCAGGTAGAACCTTGACAAATCGACCGTCCACGCAATTATTCCTTTTTTTGGCGCCCATCCTGCGTAAAGTCAACTTTTGCTCATTTTTTGGGCTAGAGTTCATGGTTTGCGGATTTATTTGCTAAACGAAACCATGACTTTGGAGAAAGTCAAATTACAGGCCCACTTTAGCGCGCGAAATGCCGCGTGGATCCGTTTGGCGCACAATACAGGTTTCAATTATCGAATGGGCTTGAGATTTTGCATACTTCACCTAAATGCTGTTGGAGTGCTACTACCGAAATTCTAGCTCAAGATATTTACCGAGCTCGCTCTACGAATTTCGTGACAGACAGAGATTCACACACACAGACAAACGTAAACGACCCTTAGTCCGTTATTATAATTTATAATATTAAAGAAACAGGTGGGATTTTAGGCTTAGGTTTAAAGGAGCATGTAACCGCGAATTATGAGAAATTTCACGGCACCTTTGGAACGACCTGAAGTTGCAAGACATTGTGGAAATGACTTTAATGTGCCTGCATATAAAAGTGAGATTTATGCTAAAAGAGCGCTTGAGGCGTCCAACTTTTTCAAGACCATCAAGATAAATGACAAAAATTTATGCTGTTTATCAGTAGTAATATTCTATCGTCTTTGGCTCTATGAGATATGTCTAAACATAAAAATCCTATGTCAATGGATGTCACCCAGTTGGCTCTGTCGACTTTCTACGTGCGGATTCACATGGTGAATAGAAGATTGGCTCATTTCATTTGGTTCTCATGCTGGCTGCTACTCCAAGCAAGGTCTGGACTGGCAAGATGAGAGGCAGTTTTTGACGCTAGGGCTGACAGGGCAAAATGCCTATGATCTATGTGTGGACCTTTTAACAAGATAAATTTGACAGTCAGATCTATCAATTATCCACAAAGAAAGCTGTTGGCCCATTTACATCACTTAAACATGCGACGTGGTACCCAAATGGCAAAAAGTAATGTAAACCTGGATCACACCGTGGTAGAAATGCCGGGTGCGATCTGACCATACAAAGTAAAAGTAGTTCTATATCAAAGTCAGAATAGCATTTTTAGTTGTACTTCCCCTTGCAATCAGTGCAACATAAATTCGATCCTTATTCATATTTAGCAATACTAAACAGGAAAGGTATATAAGTCGCAGTGGAGTTTCCCTACTAGTTGTATATCAGTCGAAGGTCTTTGAGCGCTGATTTCAAAACAATCTTCCATATCTGCTTGTCGGTCTACTGGAGGAAGTTACAGGCATTTGTTTGGCCTTAAATGACGCAGATTTTGGCTGCTTATTGCAGGACGAAGGCGACAGAGTAGCTCAAAACCTAATTCCATCAATTTTTCATGTACAATGAATATATCTCAGATAAGGGAATGTAGCTCCGGAGCAAAATCCATTTATCACGAATTTAGGTCACTTATACATTATCTGACATGCAGGAAGTGAAAGTGAACAAATGCCTCTAACTTTGTTCAGATAACCGATAAGCAGACATGGAAGGTAATTTTGAAATTAGCGTTCAAAGACTTTTCGATTAATAAATACACATCTTATAGGAAAATATCACTGTGAGTCATGTACCTTCTCTTGCAAGTACTACTTAACTTATTTTTAACATGAATATATTGTAGCGCTGCACAATACCTGCAGTTTGAGAACGCTTTCTTGGCGTGTTTTTCCAAGTCGAGGAAGCGAAGCATTTGCTCAACAATCATTGATGGTTCTTTGTAACCTAGAAGAATCAAAGTCATTACTCTGTTAGTTAGTAAATTTATAGTTTACCTATTATTCCTGCAATAAACACCATGTTTTGCTTGCAAGAAAGGCGCGAAAGCGCAGCATCGAATTGAGGGCAATAACCGATTCCCTGCAAACAGAGCTGACATTTTTAGAGTAAGGGTTTCCCTTACAGTGCTTCCTCCGTAATGATCAACGGTGCACCTGGGCGTTGTGGGAGACCTATCCTCGCGATTTAGCGAGAAGTTAATTTTTGCAGAACTTAGCACAGGGCACCCACAAATGTTTAGAAGAGTTCTCAGTACATACCGCAGAAAAAAAGTACGGCTCTTAGGTGTCAAAAAGAAAAAACGTAAGAAAAATAAGACGAGGCAGAACGTAAAGAAATCTTCGTAAACACTGAATGTGGCGGCACGCCATCTCCACCGCGCACCAACACACGCTTATTGCAAAATTGCCGCCGCAGATCAATTTAAGGCTGTAGCTAAAGAGAGGGCGAGTATAAGCTGCCGGAACACCAATTCATAGGATTGAATGTGAAAAATAATTAGGTAAAATTCCATGTAATAAAAGAGAACATTTGTCACTTTGTGTTTTTTCAGGCCAGCTAACTTTGAAAAGGCATTGTGAAAAGCTATGTGCATTGTTTCAGGCCTTATTGCGTACATACACGCCAGATTTGTTGTCATATCGTTGTGTGTTTGTTGTAAGCAGACATTTGTCTAGCACAAGCTGAAGCCTTCGTCTTTACTTGAAGCACATCTACAGAGATGAAGATGTAGAGGAGTGGGATAGAAGGTCTAGAGTTGCTAATTCATGGTTCAAGTGACAATGGCTCGGAAAAGGTTTTGTATCAGGGCGGGGGGGAGGGGAGAGCGGGAGAAGATGTAAGGAACAAATTTATTGGAATAATGGGTGTACAGTTATCACTCTCGAAGAAATTTTTTATAATAATAATAATAATAATAATAATAATAATAATAATAATAATAATAATAATAATAATAATGAATAGCATTAATAATAATAATTATTATTATAATTATAATTATAATTATATTATAATTATAATAATTATAGATAATATTTGAAATTTTAGTATTTTAACTTGGGAACTCCGTTTCGTTCATATCCTTGATCGGAATATTGTGTTGTTTCTATGCCATTCCCGGAACTCATCAGTAATTAAGGATGGCTATGTTTAAAATAACTCATCTTTTTATATAAAATTCATATTAGAGTTTATTTCAAATATTGGTTTTAATTAGTAATAAGGTAACTTTAATTGATTTTTAAACAATTTTTAAAATTTTGTGGCTTTTCTGGGTCCTTTTCATCGTCTAACCATATTTTCTTTGACTCTTTGTTTGTCTTCGTCCACTTGATTTCCTTGTTGAACTGCTTTCTTCTTGAATCCATTTGTCTTGATGTAGGAGACCTCCATCGTGATGGTCAATAAATGAATTTTCCAAACGTGCCAAACTTGTTATTGAATGTATTATTCATAAACATTTTCGAATGGTTTCAATCTATTTTGAACCAGTGCGTTACCTTTGCTTTGCAGAGGCTCGCATTGGCTCTACTATACACATGCCTTCCTCGTAGTCGCAAAGATGGCTTTGAAACTTACCTTGCGATGCCGATCATCACGAATGAATGGTAAACAACTACTCATTCCAAATGTTTTTCAGGTAAGACAGGTGTTTTTGCAAGGGCGAAAGCATTCTCCAAAAGAATAAATGTGAATTTGAATCAATTACTGGGGTTATAATGGCTTGATAGTCGCCATAAAATGAACCGTGAGTTACATTTCTGAGCAAAAATTTTCTCACATTCCCAGATAAAACCTTGACAAATCAATCGTCTACGCAATTATTCCCTTTTGGCGCCGATCTTGCATGGATGTACACTTTTTGCTCACTTTTCGGGCTGGAGTCCATGGTTTGCGGATTTACTTGCTAGACGAAACCATGCATTTGAAAAAAGCACATTTAAAGGCCCACTTTGGCGCGCGAAATGTTGCGTTCGTTTGGCGCACTATTTGACAGCTTCCAGTAATCGGATCGGCTTGTGCTTTTGCATATTTTACCCACATGTTAATAGGGTGCTAATACCAAAACAGCTCAAGACCTTTGCTGGAACTCACTCAACGAATATCGTGACACACACACACACACACACACACACACACACACACACACACACACACACACACACACACACACACACACACACACACACACACACACACACACACACACACACACACACACATTTGCCCACCTCGTGCCGGGCCCTGCACCTGCTACTGCGCCACACCGATACGAGTGAGTGACGGTGGCAGTCGTATTCGAGCAAGGCGCGCTGAGTCTCGTGCGGAAAAGCGCCCGTAGCTTCCCTCCCAAAGTTGTTCTGCAGTTAACGAGAATGGTTTTGAAAATGCCCTTCCGAGTGACGTGTCACATCACCTATCCCATCTCAAAGGGCCACTGCGATCTGCGGCACTTCCAGTTATTTGCAGGTCGTACTTTACGTGAGCATTTCATTAAAACTCCAACAACCACATGAAGGAAGAATTTAACAGAAAATAGAAGGCAGTGAAGAGCATTTGAAGTCCGAGGGCTATCTGGAAGACTCGAGACAGCCAACTCTTTAGTGCAACGCTCTCCCAGAATTGTGATACGCAGTCAAAACTTGTATGCATAAGCCGCACGAGCTTTACGAATTTCACAAAGAACTCGAAAAAGAGTGTTGATGTGTTATGTTCAAACAAGTCAGCATAGGATCTAAGCTTCTGATCCAAGGCAAATGGCACGTGTACAATTCAGCATGCGTTTGACAAAAAACAATATAGGGATTTCAAAGAAATAAGAATAAATGTACTAAGTATACATTAGATGAATTTTGGCTTTGTTGAAAATTACTGCAAGATGTTGTAAGAGACCGGTATATTTTGCGCCAGTTTTTAAGCAATTTGTCGATATCCGGATGTTTATAAGTCATTTTAAACACCTTTCAAAGATACAAGATATGAGGCATCCAAAGTTTTTGATAAAAACTAAGTCATGATGTGTACAACTTCTGCAACTTGATGAGTTTGCTTTGCGACTAAAGTCGGGCAAAACACATTGACCACATATAAATATTTGCTGCGCGCGTGAATTAGCTGCGTTAGCAGCTGGATCCTGACTAAATTGTTGAACAGGCAACCGCATATCAGGGCGCTTATAGATAACTACCTGCTCACAGTATTATCGAATTTTTGGCGGCCTTATAAACATATGAAGACGGATAATTCCGCTTTTCTAAGCGACTGAGTAAGTAAAATGTTGGAGACGAAAAGGCTTACCTGAGTTCGATTTACGTACTGATCTCCTATGTAGACGCTCCCATTGTTTGCGAAACGTGACCCAGTAATAATCGCGAACGCAGAAGTTTTACCAGCTCCACTCGGTCCAATCAGGCCGAAACAATCTTCGCTACGAACACCAAAAGTAGCACCTTTTAGCGCACAAGTCGAACCGTAGTACTTCGTAAGGTTCTGAAAAGTGTCTTCACATACCAAACGCGATTATCGAGATAGTGATTGGAGGCCATCTATCTTATTTATTGGCGAAAACGTTTTTTCAAAGTTCATAATAGTCTATTTTAATCAAGACAAAATAGTTAAATGCGCATCCGCATTGCTATGGTTTTCGTTCACGCCTAGCTCGCTATGAGGGGCGGGTAGGATCCGTCTGCAGTCTTTTTCTTCATTCCTGATGATATGGGCGCTGCAGATCAACGTCGTGCTTGAGTATTGCGAGCGGCATTTTCGGTCAATTTTCAGATTGATCACGGATGGGTCTAAGATTATAAAAACATGCGCTTTCTACACGATGGCAACATTTGAATTCAAAGCGTACAGGGCAGTAAAAAAAAGAGTTAATGTTCACTAAGGCCCGTATGCACGTACATCCCCGCTGGGGAGGGGAGGGGATCTGAGAGGGGATGCGCCATTTCTCGCCACTTTACGTATCTTTCTTCTTCCTTTTCTATCTTGCTTATGAAGGTTCTCATACTTTACGACCTGCGCATAATTGATGCCAGGCTACTGGCATAACTGATTAGATTTGTACTATTTTGTGTGATCCCCAGGGGATCCCCAGGCGATCACCTCTCATTTTCAAAGTCATTTATCTTTCTGAGAAATCAATGGAAACGCCGCAAAATTGTACTGAGGATATACTACGGCACTGCTAAGCATGTTTTCGACAGAAAAAATGGAATCTGACGATTGTGAATTTTTCGATGATCCCTAGCTTTTGAGCCAGGGATTACCGAAGATTTCGATATCCTGAGATTTCACTTATTTTTGCTTTAAACATGCTTAGCAGTGCCGTAGTATATCCTCAGTACAATTTTGCGGCGTTTTTATTGATCTCTCAGGAAGATAAATGACTTGGAAAATGAGAGGTGATCCTCTGGGAATCCCCAGGGGATCCTCAGGGGATCACATAAAATAGTTCAAATCTAGTCAGTTATGCCAGTAACCTGGCATCGATTATGCGCAGGTAGTAGGGTATGAGAACCTTCATAAGCAAGATAGAAAAGAAGAAGAAAGATACGTAAAGTAGTGAGATATGACGCATTTCCTCTCAGATCCCCTCCCCTCCCCAGCGGGGATGTAGGTGCATACGGGCCTAAAATAATGTACGCTCCTAACGCAGAGCGACCTCCTTGCTAGTTTACAAACTAATCAGCTTACCATTGCATAAACAGTCCTTTGCTCACCATAAACGAAGGAACATTTCGTAAAAAAAATTACATCATTACCACTTCCAATTTAGCACTTTCTAGTGAAAATCATGATGCGCGCTCATCAACTATAGGCCTATATCAAAACCTGGCACAGCTGGCACAAAGTCAAGCTGATTGTCGTTGCTGGGAAAAAAGCCCTTCAAAATCGCAGAAAAGTACATTGAAGGGATCCCATGTTAGAAGTAGTTTGTCAAAATCATCCATTCTGTGGCTAAAAAACTTGACTCTCTGAATACAATCTCCGTACAAGCTTTTACTTTAATCGCATTCGCCTGATGTTGAGGTTAGAATGAGCTTGACTGCCTCCTCTTACATGATGTGAGGAAGTGGTTGGTTGAAGCTTGAAAACTTTCCATTCTCAGACGCAAGCAAGTGCAATAAATAACATGTATGTGCAGAAATTCAGCTCAATCTGTTCACCGGAGGGCGTTTCTATGATTAACGAACGAATTAATGAACATTCTTACAAAGTTTGAATTAAATCTCTGTATATTCCAATTCAAAGCAAAAAATTTGTGTATGTGCTGTGTGTGTATATGTATGCATGTGGGGGTGCCATGTATGTAAGTAAACGGCGTTGTGCGTGAGAGCTGAAACTTGCATACATATCTATCAACACGGCGGTCATTATAGGCTATTTTTTGCAGCGATATACTGAGCCCTTATATCAATCTGTTGATTTGTTTCAATGCATTAAGAAAAATGAGAGCACATCGTGTCGTCTTGACCGATCATTTTCCAGAGTTATACAAAACGAGCGGTAAAGCTCAGAAAGTTAGCAGAAGGCTACGATGCATCAAAGGCTTTACAAGGAGAGCTAATAATTGCTGCGCAAAAGCATGGGCTCATTTGAAAAAGGAGAGAACGAGGATAAACACAGGAACAGAAAAAGTTGAGTATTTTCTAATATCTCACAGATAAGTCCTCCCATCAGACTCTAGATAGGTCCGCTTTTTAAATTCAGATAAGGCCCTCTATGTATGTCCGCCTACAGATGAGTCCGTTTTCGTTCTATTATATACTGTCAGATAAGTCCGGACTTATCTATAGACGGAATTATTTGAAGGGAGGACTTATCTGCAAGATTCTTGACGGTGCGAGGGTGCATTTTCATTAAATTTTCTTGCCAAAAAAGCGGACTTATCTGCAAGATTTGAAATAGAGTGGGATGAAGTGGTGAGTTTCGTTGTGTTATGCTGACAAGGACCGAGCGAAACCGGTTATAACAGCTAGTATATGCATAAAAAGATTTGGTACTTTTCCGTTATCCGGACCCATTTTTTCAAAAAGCTCTCATGAATGCGCTATTTAGTTTGAGAACAATTTTTACATAGATTCTACAAGGGCCGCTTCCCTGCCACGTGGCAGAAAAAAATTGACACGTTTTGGTCCAATTTGACATTTTTTTCGTAAGTATTCCTGGTGTGGTAAAAGAGCATGCATGATCACCTGAAAGATGTTTATCGGTTTCTGTAAGAGAAAAACAGTTTAAAATTTATATTAGGACATTTGTTGCTTTTACGAATGATTCAAAAATGACTTTCTCTTCAAACTCTGTCCGCCATGCTATTTTAACCAAGAAGGACTGTAAATGATGGCTGAAGTACCTCGCTACCGCTTGTTTCGCCGCTAAAATGATGAGAATCTATTACAATTCTCTATTCTGAGCAAGTCGAGTTTGTTCATTAATAATAGAATAACGTCATAATCATAATGATATTTATTTTTGAAATTGTTACTCGAAAATGGGGTCATTATCAGAGGTGCGATAGTGGGAGCCGATTCTCCCCCTACCTTCACTTTTGAGCTGGTACGGGGTGACCACCTTCACTTTTGGAATAAAAAATTTTTCGCTGGACGACAAAGAAGGAAAATAAGCAAAACAAACGCAAAAAAGATTATTGAAAGCATATATTTATGTATACGGCGGCATATATATTTAAAATAAACGTTTTTAGTAAATGGTGTATTTGGAAGTAAAGCTTAGCAAAACTGTACGGATTTTATTAAGCAAATTATGTTATAACGTTTAGCGAAGGAAGTAGGTCGATCCAGGCAGTAACGGCCGAGAACCAGAATTTTGAATATTTAAATAGTGAAAAATCATGCGAAATTTCCATTGTTATAAATCTGTTGTTTGAAGATGTCAGGAGTTGCGACTTTATAGATTTTGAAGAGTAGATGTTGCTCTATCAGCTGGCGAAGGAATCGGGTCGATTTAAGAGATAGTCGTTGAAAACCAGAATTCTAAAATTTACGCCATTTTTGCGTGTTTTTTGACTGTTGAGAGTTAAACTCTTATAAATCTCGAATGTGGAAGTGTATGATGTTGCGACTTCATAGGTTTTATAGAGTAAGGTTTGCCTTATCAGAATATGTCTTGTCCGTTCCGATCCATTGAAACACCTCCGAGATCCAGAGTCATGAAAAAGCAGGTAAAAAAGAGCTTTTTGAACTTCAACAGCTCATAACTTCTTCAGAACTGCATGAATCATGTTGCGACCCCCCCCCCCTCCAATGCATTAGAGTGGGCTAGGGGGAGACTTTGGTATGAAAAGGCTCCCCCCCAGGGCATAATTCGTAGGAGGCTCTAAACCCCCATATATCATATATCATCTGAAACTCTTGATGAGAAGAATCTAACCTATGAAGTCGCAACATGATTCATGCAGTTCTGAAGAAGTTATGAGCTGTTGAAGTTCAAAAAGCTCTTTTTTACCTGCTTTTTCATGACTCTGGATCTCGGAGGTGTTTCAATGGATCGGAACGGACAAGACATATTCTGATAAGGCAAACCTTACTCTATAAAACCTATGAAATCGCAACATCATACACTTCCACATTCGAGATTTAGATGAGTTTAACTCTCAACAGTCAAAAAACACGCAAAAATGGCGTAATTTTTTAGAATTCTGGTTTTCAACGACTATCTCTTAAATCGACCCGATTCCTTCACTAGCTGATAGAGCAACATCTACTCTTCAAAACCTATGAAGTCGCAACTGCTGACATCTTCAAACAACAGATTTATAACAGTGGAAATTTCGCATGATTTTTCACTATTTGAATATTCAAAATTCTGGTTCTCGGCCGTTACTGCCTAGATCGACCTACTTCCTTTACAGTATGTTATGACAAGATTTACTTAATAAAACCAGTACAGTCCAACAAACTTTTACTTCCAAATACACCATTTACTAAACACGCCTATTTTAAATTTTTGTAAATAAAATTTAAAAATATTTTTAATATTCAACGTATCTGTGGCCCTAAAAAGGGCCGTTGGGTCACAGTTCGACCTAGAAAGATAGCTCTGTTCGTCCGTTCTACCCCCTCCCCCCGCACCTCCCCCCGCCCCACCCCCCCCCCCCCCCGTCGACGTCGACGTTTTTGGGAGGTGAGTGTCCGGCACTACCACCTTCACTTTTGGCCGGCCAGTGGTAGCTGGAACCACCTTCACTTTTGGTGGGCCCGGCTCGCACCTCTGGTCATTATTGATTGAAAAATCGATTGAACTTAAGTCAGTAGGTAGGGCAATATAAACTCTTGGTAAAACCTGCTAAACATGTGGATGGCATGTCAAATTTTTTTTTGACACGTGGCAAAAGGTTGACACTCCTTTCCTGTGAATTTAGGAGCAAATATGATACATGGAAAAAAGCAATATCCTTCTTTGAAAAAATGGGTCCGGATAACGGAAAAGTACCAAAGATTTTGACAACTATCGACGTAGTATCTCTCTCTGTCATTAGTTAATCAATGCTAGTCATGAGGCTTGCTTGCATACTGCTCCCCTCATCTTTTTCTTGCGATACATATAAGAGGAATGTGTTTTAGGTAAAGTTAGACCTCCACTGAAATCTTTGTGTTCAACCGATGAATTCTACATGTTAAAAATAAGAGAAATTGGCTCTTGAAGTTGGTTAGATCAATTTATGAAGTCGAAGGCTAAATCGATCTAACCGTGCCCCCCAACAGCATATGAACTACCTGCACTGTCAGAGTAAAATTCGAAGTATTGTTCTGAACATGTTCTCTTTCTTGGATGACGTCTTCACTGTCAGGAATGTTACTTTTCTGCAAGTATATAATAATCCATGAGAGTGCTTGTGTCTTTGACCTCATATAGTTTATCTAAGCACATTCAATACCAACCTCTACATAAGTTTTTCTGCAAAATATTCTTGTCAGCTTGTCGAGGTGATATTCGTACATATACAAAATGAGCAGAAAAATACTGCCATGAACAAAAAAAGATGCAAAAATTTCTCCATTTGAATCTGAGTAAGAGATCAAGCAGAGATTTTCTCTTTATTTTGCGTCCTATATGCAAATATGCAACGCTGATGCAACATCTCAAAATGTAATGTTCTTTGGTTGCATTAAAGCCCCTTGCAATCCTTACTAAAGTTTCGTGATTTCAGAGTTGTGGTTGTATAAAATGTTCTGTAAACTATTCCTTACAAGAGAGAACATCTAACAAGGGGAGGACCCGAAGTCGAAAGCAGCTTTCCAGATAAAATGCAAATCAGTCTGAAAAGCATCAAACGCTGTTCCAAAAACCGTCTTTGTTGTCTGTTAAGCGCCACTATACGCCGAGTTATGAGCATTTTTCGGCTCGAAAAGTTTAACACGCAACTGGAACATATTCGTCCAAGTTTGTGCAAATGGCCCAGCGTTGGATAACAGAGGACTCTACGCATGCAAATCTTTTGTCATATAGTGGTACTTGCATTCCTTTGATTTTGCGCTGGAAAGACCATAAACATTAATTTTACGTAGATTTTACTATCATCAAATCTGAAGGCGTTTGGCAAAATTGAAGGCACTTTTGTAGTCAGCGTGTGATGCTGTTGAGATCGGTGTAAATTTCATTTGAGAAGGCGATTTTTATCTAGGGTCCTGCCTTGGCAAGTCTTCTTGTAAAGCGACATATACGCGGCTTTTACAGCTTGAATTCAGCTCAAAACATTGATTTCAAGCATTCTTCCGTAACTACAGATTATTATTTTAAAAAGTGGTATGAAGTCTTCCTATGAGTGACTGACACACTATGACCGGCATTAGATCGAAGGCCACACGTATTGCCATGCCGAGAGGGGATCGCAGTTCAAAAGAAGGCTTTGAATTCTGAAGCTCCAAATGTTTAATATAGCTGTCTATCCACCTTAAGCGTTTCTGCTATCCTTCATTATAAGCACGTCCAAAAATAGCGCTTCGAGGTAAAAGCCGCGTTTCGAGTTTTCGTGTAATCCCCTGATAACCCCTAGTGGCAAAATTTTTTTAAAAGTCATCTTTCATTCAGGCCGGTCTTATAAGAAGCATTGTCAGCATTATTGGTTGAGAAATCTACACAACTTTGGAATATTTCTACAACTTTGAAGAAAGAAAAATGGTTTTTGCAGAAAGGAAGGTCTGTCGAGGATTACGGGGGATCATTAAAAAAAGCCAAAACCGGCTTTTACAGCATTGCGCTCCTATTCAATATGCGTATAGCGAAAGGTAGTAGGGATATCTATGGATGGATGGACAGCTTGTCACATTCTAAAGTTCAAGAATTGTAGCTTTTTTTGAGGCTTCACACCACGACCTGCAGAAAATTCATACTTCTCCATGGTATCTTTATCTTAGTATATGATCTTTTGCAGAATGTGCCAAGCGTCAAAGCTGCACCAAGATGATCAACTATCAGACAGAAAGAGGCTCGACTCGATGGTGCGCCTTCGTTTATCGCTTTCAGTCAAGAAGCCACCACAGTCAGCCAAACATTGCGTTACTTCATCTCTTTTTTTGCGTCAAAACTAACGCGCTCTAAAAAAGAAAGCTAAATGCGCCTTTAAGTTCGTCGTGCGAAAAACGTATACGCTTTCCACGCTTCAAAAAAAACGATCTGAAAAAGGATGAAACTTAACTTGCGCCTTTATCTGTTTTCACAGCGCGCAGTTCCAAGATCTTTGCCAATTAATACGACTTATCCAAAATTGTTTCAAGCAAAAACAACCGCCATTTCACACATAACATTTGACACTTGACACGTTTGACACTCTGGGATTTTAGTGAAGTAAACCAATAGAAATCGAGTTAATGTGCTCATTTATATCGTGGTATGTACTTTTACAAATGTCCTGTTCTAATTGGGTTTAATTACCCAAATTTGAGGTAATCGTTAATAAAAGTTGCTCGTCAACTGGTGTGGTGTGAATGTTTTGGGTTGGTTTCTGGCCACTGAACTACCAAACACTGCCTCCCTGGCGAGTATGTCATTGCGTGCGGCCTCAAGGTGTAGATAGTAAGCATTATGCAGTTGTCAACCACCTAGGTGTTGATAGCTCAACATTCAGGCAGAATTTTCCTGTATGCAATCAATTACAGAAGCTTTGGGCCTATATGTTGGAAAACCGCTCACGATGAATCTGCAAACTCTATAAGCTGCCAAGTCAAGCGAATGTCGCGATTTGGCCAATTCGCAAAAGTTGTGCCTTTAGCGTCACATTCAATATTATATTGAATCGTTCCAGACGTAGTTTAGCTCTTTTCAAAAGAGCGTAACATCCCGCAGAATAAAAATATTCGAAGCGCGAGCGCATTCCATGCAGCTTGTCGTCTTCTTACGGTTGTTGTCTTGTTCCAATTTAGCCAACAACCTTTTTTAGTTGTAACCAAAACTAGCACCTGGCGAGGTATTCCATGGTTGAATTTTGCTTTTTTTGTGGATTTTCGAACCGGTTCTCAACATGACGACAGCGCGCATTCTGCTTGTCTGTTGATTGGGGTAATGATAATTCTAGGTAGATTCTCCATGTAAAAAGATATGTTATAAGCTATTCGACACCTTGATTCCGAATATCTCAATCGAAACGTGGTGTAAATTTTCAATGAGGCATTACTTTGAGGTACTGCAAATTAACTTAATAGGTTCTTAAAGTAAACTTGTATTTTCGAATGCGTCAGCAAACTCATTTTTTCACAGTAAAGTGCTTACCTTTAACGCAGTGAGATGAGCCATCTTATCCTGGTTTGTTGAGGATGTCAGTCATATTACATAAATTGATAATGTCGAGCTAACGACCACAGAGTATAACCTAATTTGTCACGTAGATGGTGTTCAAGTTTTTCACGTAATGGTCAAGGTTATCACGTAATGAGTTCAGTTTATTTCAATCTGTTTCGCATAATTGGACCATTATCTTATCATGAACGGTAAAGAAGAAGATAGCTTTGATCGATTTTTGATGGACAGTAATGAAGGAGAGAAAGGTCCTTTTTTGATGCCGAAGAAAAGGACCAGTTATTCGATACAGAAAAGACAGATGAAGGTAACACGGAAGAGGACGATATCGCCGGCGACGTCGAAGAGGTGTTTGCAAAATATTTAGCGTTTCATAACGTTTTAGATGACATACTTTTACCGCTAGGTGCGCTCAAATTTTGTGGCGGACTGTATAGAGCCAGTTGTTTTCTACCGGCTTTTGTTGAAAGCGATTTACTCGATTACATCACTGAGCAGACATATCATTAGGCAAGCAAAAGAGTTTTGGTCAGAAACATCAGTGTCTGGTTGAAAAGATTCTTTGCTTTGACAATGCAATTGGGAATAGTGAGACCGCCTTCGCTATGCGATTATTGGTTTACAAATGTGGTATTTGAGGCGACCCAATTGGTGCTAAAGTGTTGGCAAGGACCAGCTTCACAGATCTTTTAGCAAATATCTATATCCGGGAATATAAAGTAGCTGACAAAAGCAATGGATTGTACGAAATTCAAAACTTCGTGGATGAAATGATGTACGGTTCCAAGGAGTGCATGAGCCCCACAAAAAGTTTGCATCGACGGATCATTGATTTCATTTGGGGGAAGAATCCTGTTTTGGGTATATGCCCAAAAAATACAAGTTTAAAATAAATATGTTTAAGCTATGCACGAAAACGGAATAGCTAGCACCGCTTAGCTTTGGCTAAATGCACAGGCCAAACCCTCAACGAGCAAACGTAAATCGGAAGAGATGGCAGGACTAGAACGCAAGGCTAAGCACCGATGTGTGAAGTGTTACAGGGAATCGGTACGAAATCATGGATTCCCGTTTGCAGCAAGAAAGACTAAGAAAGTTACCACACTAGATGCATAAATGCAATTCTTCTGTTTGGAAAACTTTCAGAATAACCATGAAATGTTGATTTTTTTTTGTAGATAGCGAATGTTGAGTCTAACGATGCATGCTCATATGTCTTTATTCACCATTAGTTGTAACGTTGTTTGCTATTATTGAACCAGTAAAACGTATGTCTACATAACTGCATCAGATTTAAGTGTTTATACAAAAGTTACCGCCAAACCGTTTTCAAAATGCTATTTTTTATAAAAATGCTTTCTTAGAATGCTATCTCTTTGACTAAAATGCTAAATTTTATTTATCCAAAAACAATATAATTCAATTGATTAAATCCAAGCTCTTGGCAAAAATTCGGTGTAACGATTACCTATCGTATTCATACCGTAAACGATGCATATATGAGTAAAAAAATGATATGTTGATTACAACCAGCATAGTTACCTCATTAGTAACGTTTTTCAGTCAAAAAGGCCCAAATGATAATCTACAGTAAACCTACCATAGCTTACAGCGGACACAATAATCAGTGAAGGTCATATTCGAAATCAGCGAGTAGGAAATGATTATTTCCCGTAAACAGCAGACAGTTATATGACAGATACACAGCCGTGACCCACAATGTGAATCATATTGTCCCACATGCTTAACACATTGACGACAACGTGACCCACATGGTAAAGCTCGTTACTCGTTATAATTCTTTGATAGAATTTCTTTGAAGACTACTGGATACTAGCAGGTTGGTTTGTATCAAACATCAAACACCAATAATCTTCGAAGTTTGAGGCGAAAACAGATCATGGTCTAACATCAATTTTGAAAATCAAATGAGCGTTCACAGAAATACCGGACATCGAATTTTTTAGGTGCATTTTAGATGCGTTTGGAGACATAAATCATACGCATTTTGTCCCTAAAATCTTTATGAAGAAACAAAGAAGCCTGTTAGAAAAACGATCAAAAGCTTCATCTAATGACATCCGAGTTGCTCGCCTGTTGATGTTTTATGTTGAGGTCTAAGTTTATCATATGTGAAATTTCATAGTTTCATAAAAGATAGTTCGAAAAAGTTCGAAAAGCAAACTGTAGAATGGAGGAAATTTGTTTTGTATCCTGTAGGGTTGGCTCTATCCATTTTAACTTGGACTTCCTCTAATAATTGGTACAAAA